GCGGATAGCGGTATCGATTTACTTCCGGGTGCCAAACTAGATGATCTAGAGTATGCAGACGACATCGTGCTGAAGATTCAAGTAACTTGCAAGCTTTTCTCAATAGTTTGAGTGCTAGTGTAGCCATGTTCTATATGCGTTTTGCACATTCAAAGTTTAAATTTTACTTCAAGACTTGTTTGGTCCAGCCCCCAATCTCACCCTGATTGGGGCAGTAGTAGAGCCCAAATTCCGCAAGTGCATACAGAAGTTGGATATCAAAAGGATAGGCACAATCCCCTACCACCCACAAACCAACCGCCTCACCGAACGAAATAACAGACCAATCAAATAAAGTTTGGCAGCGGAAGGTCAATGGTAAACGGCACTACCCTTACTACTTTAAGCTTACAATTCCTCCGCGCAAGCTACTACGAAACATACACCATTTCAACTAGTGTACGAGAGAATTTCAAAGCTGCCAGTGGATTTCGATGTTGGTACGTGGCCGTGAAGTGATAAGTCTCCTCACCGTCAAAAGGCAATATGTGAGGTCCGGGAAAACCTAAGGCAGGTAAGGGAAGACAATATGCAAGTCTAGGACATAAACTAGACGGGTCGCAAGAGTGCACGCATCGGGAACTAAGGTGATACATAATCAGCGTACCGGATTTAGCTCAAGGAAGTTGCTCCCCAAGTGGAACACCCATACCACATAGTTGAAGAATGCCATTTAGTGTACAAAATACGACGGATGAAGGAAGTTCGATGTGTGCTCCGGAATGAGCTGGCAATCTGGCACGAGAAAACAACCAGTACACGATCTGAACAACGGAAAATACACAATCTGGCTGCAAGAACACAAGCACCACGCTACCCGACTTTGAAAACGGGAGACAATTACGGTCGTAATGCAAGAATTCATCAACTATTAGTCGACGCACACAAAGATCTTTTTTTACCGGGGAAGAGATATTGTGAGGTGCTACTCACGCTTAGTAGTAGCACAAAAGAATGTCATGGCGGATTCGCACAATGGTCAAAACTTCCGTAGTTCACTAGATCGATCTGCGGTTATCAATTTTCACCCCTCCGAAAACTCTGGAACAGAACCATTCCGCCGCGCGCGCTTCGACTTTCGCACTCAATGGACTCCGGGTCACTGCACAAAGCAATAGTTGCAGATGGGGTTCTTATCAAGCTGGTTAATCTGATCAGAACTTATTGTACCAGTACGAAAACTCGAACGTGTCTACATTTTGTTCAGTTTATCTAAACTTCAACGTCAATTGACTACAGCGTCGACACAAAGATACACGCACTATGCATCGCTCTGTGTAAGGGTAATCGAAAACAGACAAACGACAGCAGTGAGTGAGAATGGATCGATGAGTGATTAGCAATAGTACTTGCAAATACCGAAGGTACCGTTTGACAATTTAATTTCCATGTACTTGAAACGAAACTGAATGCACAAATAACAAACACACAACAATGGTGGAGCAGGTCCCATCAGGCGACTCTGGAACTTTAAGAAGGCTATGGCAACGACAAAAACACAGATAGAGCGTAGAATAACTGGTCAAAACCAACGAGAATGGGCAATCAATAATACACACACAAGCAATAACCGAGATCGGGTACGAAAAGAATAGATGCACAATGAATGATGCAGAGAACGGAACAAAACAATTTAAACTGCTCACCCAAAGAGACGCAATAGTCGTCTGAGCCGAAGACAATACCAACCAAAGGAACAGGCAAACGTTTGGTTTTCTCGCATATACTGGGCAGTTGAATGATGGCCTTACAGGACTCAATCATCGACACGAGGCCCAGTTGAAGGTTTTGACGCAGCGCACCGGAGCGATTGAGACGTTGACTGATTGTATCAGACAACTGGGGTCCGGGAGAATTTTTTTACGTTTGAGAGGATGGTGAGCAACCAACAAATTAATTAAACGGACTGTTCAGGAACTGAAGAAATACAATCTATCCAGAACTAGATGGCGTGAGTCAAAAATGTGCAATGTTGCATTCAAACGTTATTTGCATCCAAAAATTGTTTTTCGTAGAAGACGACGGAATCGAGAAACAAGGATGCAGCAGGCGTTTTTATGTATTCATTCTAATATATTTTTACATTTTAATTAGGCTACTCATGAGTAGCATGCGTGTTTATTTCCCCTTTCTTGTAACATAAAGCGCCTAGTGTGGAAATTTATATATTCACATAGTGTACTGGACGGACACTTGATGCAATGATCACGATATGTATTCGCCGAATTCCGCTTTCCTATTGACATAACAATCTTCTGAACGCTTGCGAGTATTAGCCTGCTGTCAACGAGTATCGAACGACAGACACCCACATTATCCACTGTGTTCAAACACCGACAGTCTACGTTTATCCTGTTTCCTTAATCGTCAGGTTTCTGTGCCGTATGGCAGAAATGACCATACGGTCGCAACATACACTCGACCCTTCACAGACAACCAGATGTCGCGACGGCGCCACAGACATCTCAAGTTAGCAAATGACAATCGAGCTTTCTGTATGAGAGATGACACTTCATTTGCGACGCAACCACTGGATATAGCTACGCAAATAACAACACTTGTCCACTTGACCTATTAATTCTCCAGTTAGAGCGAGGATCGGTGGTGTACTAAAACCAGCTTGGAAATAACATTTTACGAAACAAAAGAGTGGCGAACAAGCTCGTTTCCAGATATTCCTGTTCATGCTAACACAGCTCGATATACATCACAACTTGAGAATAAATTTACCTTGGGAAAATAAAATAAAATCACAAATGACTAGAAACGATTTCATCACGAGACCGGAAATCGGGCTCATCACTATCACATATTTGCTTGTCCACTAATCCAACCATCGAAATTACTCGTGATACGGTGTGTAGGGGGTGGAGGTGAATCAGGGAAGCTTTAGCGCTTGCACGACTTGTTTTAGGGTACACAAAAAGGAAGTTCAAACGAATGCCCACCGCTTCGGCTGAAGCCAGTGATTTAATCGTTTCGGTGTTTAGTCACGCAGGGTGGTGCTCACGAATGTGTGAAACGCATACCACACATAGATACCTTAGCACCCAAACCATCCAGAAACGCTTGCAACTTACCTGGATCTTTATTTAGCAGCATAACGTCATCTGCACNTCAGACAACCCACTACCTGGGAGCAAATCGATGATGCTATCCCCGCACGAGGATAGAGCTGTTTCCATTACCAAAGAGAGAAACGGCAACCCTGACAAACATCGCTTTCTACAATGAACTCGGGCGGAAAAGTGTCGTAAGCTCGAACTCAACTTCGGCTATTAGTTTGAACGGATCGTAATGTTGAAATAAACCTCTGGGGCATACCCTTCACGGGAAAGGAAGCGAATGAGTTTGGAACGGTCAATTAAGTCGCAGCTAAGCGAAAATGGGATTTGGGTTTCAACATCTTTTTTTTGGTTGTTTGACCTTACTAGTTGAACACTGAGTGAAATCCCATGGTTGGTGCAAACAGGAGTTATTTCCTAAGGTTTGGGAGCAAGAGGGAGAACCGGACAGATAAGGAAGAGATTTATCCAAGACTTTGGGGTAAGATGTACTTCGCGGAGGCCCACAAAGACAAATGGGTTTCCTTTACGAACCTTCGACTCGAAAATTTGACCTACAAGGTAGTGGGACGTAGATCTAACGCGGGAGCGTGACCAAAGCATTCGTGTGGGGGCTTCTAGAGACCTATCACGCAAGGCCTTTGGGTTTCAGTTTAGCGTGATGTCCGCTGGTGCGTTGATTGTCGTGTTCGTGATTTGCCCTTAGTCTCATGCGGCAGTGGTGGCCACGGGGTTAGGTCATCAAATTGTGACCCGGAAGTCTCGGGTCTCTCCACAGCCGTCCATCTTCCCTATTTCTGTATTTCCCCCAGGCAGCCTTTGTATGGCCGCAGCCCCCTTCCTGAAGGTTGACTATACACTTGTGTATTCAATAAAAAGGATGTAAAAAGACAAAGACATGAACACTATGAGACAAACGAAATGTGAACGGTACCGCACCTTATTGGCTGGGTGCTGTCCAGCTTTGGCGTACGGTAGCTGCCCAATGTACCCCGAAGATTTTTCCCACCGCCCGGAGGAAGCTCCACCTAACGATGTGCTGGTTGAGTGGGTGACTGTCTCTCCCCGTGTTTATTTGCTGAGGTAACCTCTTCAAGAGCGGCAGTGGATAGACAAAGAAAGCAAGGTGCCCAAGCAGCTCTCCTTGTGATACTGAGCTTTATCTGGCCTCTACCCTTTGACCTTTCAGACATGATCGGATCTGCAGCCGTGAGGAGCCATCCTGTAAAGCTCGCAGGGTCATGGAAACGGGCAAGCCAAGAAAGGGGTTGATTAGACTGCGTATCTTGGCTTAAACTGTCCGTTCCTGAAAATGAGCAATAGATTGTCTTAACTATGAGGTTTATCCGCTCTACTGATCATTAAACTGAGATGTCTGATGAAAAAAAGATCAAAAAATTGGCTGAAATTCACTTGGATCCGAAACACTTGTTCCAAAATATAAAACTCGCGAACGGTCACCATGAAAATGTTGTGACCAGATATGGGGATCGGGAACGCATCGTTTCTTCCTAATAAACAAGTGGTTTCACAGATTACCTGAAAGCGCGACGAGCAACTACGTTGAATAAGTTCGAAACCTTCGGTGATAGAGATGGCATGCGTACTGTGCTCTGGAAATAAGGCAAGAATATCTGAGAAATATAAACATTTTCTCCGGGTGCTCAGGTGTAGTTTAAAAATCCTTGGGTCCGCATGCACCAAAATCAATGGAATACAGAAGTTTTTACTCGTAACATGTAACACAGTCATATCAATTTAAAAACAGCCGTACAAACCTACTGAAGAAAAGAATTTGAAAGCTGTCCGTTGGTATGCACCTGATACTAGAGGAGCGGACAGTTTTGCTATTACACACCATTGTTTGATGAGCAGCAGAAGTCATAGATCTCAGAAAAATACGGACCCGCTGTTCACCCATGATATTCGACAGAATAAGCTGATAGAGTAAACCACATAAGGGTTCAAAGCAATAGGGGCAGTATGAAGTCAGTTGACAGCGAAGGAAACCAGAAAGCACTTCAAATGAATCCACCTACCCAGGTTAGTTCATCAGCCGATTCAACTTTCGGTAGGCAGAATAAATCGGGACCAGGCCAACGACCCGCATTTTGTTCAGCTGATTCAAAGATAGCATCTAATACCGCGTCCAGGTCAGTCTGGGCCATATTCGTGTCCACAGAGTTGATTCTCACAATCAGCAGTCGTTTGAAATCTTCTCGGAGCTGTCGAAATAGACCACCATTAGAAGCCTTGAGGGCGTCGCACACAGTTTTGCGGGCCTGGTCCTGGTAAAGGACAGAATAGGCAATATGGTTTATCGACAGAACATTAGAGGGCGCGCATGAAACATTACAGTGGGAATGGACGAGAAACAGCTATTCGACACTATTCACCTTCGACATGTGTGATTTCGATGCACATATAGGAGTAGAGACAAACACCCACACAATTTCGTTATCAGTGATCAGCATAACACCTGATGGTCAATCACAAATCGCATCATCAGAACTTTCAACTTTGTTTGGTTTACACAGTTATCAACCGGGCAGTCTCGTGCATGGGTTGCGGTTGGTGTCCCACAGTTGTCTGTTCAGTCGAACAATGATGAATGGGCAAAACCTGGAATCATCATAAAGGTAAAAAAAATGGAATAAGGATAAAGGAATTTTTTGCACAAACTGCGCACTGGCAGGAGTGCCACTGTTTACGACTTTAACTCATATCACTCAACATGGCTTTAGCTACGAATAAGGGTGAACAGGTTGATATTTTGGAGTCTAAGGAACAGAGGAGCATAGATCGAATTAGTATTTCAACAAGGTGTTAGGGTTAATTTACGTTGTAAGGAGCTACTTGGATTCATGAGATGAGTAAGGTGCTTTTCGTTGACTGAACCATAATTTCTTCGAAGCAGTTAAACTCACTTTATGATGCACAATGAACAATTCAATTTGTAATAAGGATCCAAATAACATACCAAAGTGGTTAGACATTCCTTGCTAAGTCGAAGTGTCCTATGATTGGGGTGTACATGAA